CCCAGTATGCCCAAACTGGACATTTTGGCCATTGTTGATCGTCAGGCAGATTATATATTTCTTAAAAGATCTTTACTGTCTGCTGCGGTGACTCAGGTTGCCGTCAGCACTGAACTGTTAGGCCTAGCCACTTGGCCTAGCATTGATACAAGTGGCAACCAAATACGAAACACCAAAATACTAAGCACCACAGAAATAATTTTTAGATAACATAATAGCTGAATTAACTTAATAACTTCAAAATTCAGTCAATTGGAAATGTAAAAAACATTAAACCACACTCTTGTTTTATATTGTGATTAGAGCAAAGTGAAAAATGTTTTTTTTTTTTAAAAAGATTTTTTTAAAAAAACGTTTTTGGTGTTAGTTTCTTTTTATTTTAAGAAACCAGTTACTATAATTTTAAATGGAATTAATATTAATTTAGGTACACAAAGTTATTGCACTACACCGGCTACCAGAATCCTTCCATTGCTTCCGTTAGATTCCTTCTTCCCTGTCCTGACATGCTTGCTAGACTCAGTACTACTGGCATGTCATAGACTTTGTTTTCATTTGTATTCCATTGCTGAGTTTCTGTATTGTCTACAGATGAGTGGGATAGTCTGGTATTTGTCCTTCCCTTAACATGACATCCCACAGTTCCAGTCAAGTTGTAGCAAAATGTAAGATTTCTTTCTTTGCAAAATTTTACCTTCTCTTATAGCTAAGAACATATGTATCACAATTTATTTATCCACTGAACTGTTGCTGGATATGTGGGTTGTTTCCAGATTTGGGTTATTATGATATACTACAATGAGCATAGGTATGCATATTCTTCCAAATTAATGAAATTTGTGTTCATGAAAAGGAATGGTATTTCTGGGTTATATGGAAGTTCTTCCTTCCTTCCCTCCCTTCCTTCCTTCCTTCCTTCCTTCCTTCCTTCCTTCCTTCCTTCTTTCCTTCCTTCCTTCCTTCCTCTTTTTTTGAAAAATATCCATTCATCTTTACATATAGATCAAATCATACTACATTTTTTTTTATTTTGCTTTTTGGGCCATGTCCGGCATTGCACAGGGGTTACTCCTGGTTTATGCACTCAGGAATTACTCCTGGCGGTGCTCAGGGAACCATATGGGATGCTGGGAATTGAACCCGGTTTAGCTGTGTCCAAGGCAAATGCCCTACCTGCTGTGCTATCGCTCCAGCCCTGCATTCTTACCAATAGTGAATTATGGTAGTTTTAAATTTTTTGAAAAATTAACCTACTCGGATCAGGGCTGACCATCCTCCACCCAGATCCTCCAAATTCCAGTAGGCCCCCTGGCGCCGTGTAATCCCATCAACGGCCAAGACTCAGAGACTATAAAACCCAGCTCCCGGAAGAGAACAGCGCAGAGTCTCCTGCCCCCGCACCTGGCTGTCCTTGCCGGGGCCCCTTTGGAGGGAGCGGGTTGAGTTTTCCTCCCTGCCCCGACCAGGGCTCCGGCAGCCGAAGACCTCCAGAACCAGCCACCACCATGCTGAGACCACTCTCCGCACACATGAAGGTACCGGCAGAGGAACAAAGGCATGCAGGTCCCGGGGCTGAGATCTCCAAGCCTACTCGGATCGGGGCTGAGCATCCTCCACCCAGATCCTCCAAATTCCAGTAGGCGGGGGTCACACCCCCTATGCTGGCATCTGATGCATCCATCGAGGACCTGATGGTACAAATGCAAAAGATCAAGTACGACATCATTGGTCTGACTGAGACGAGAAGGCATCCATCACATCATGCCGTTTTCGACACTGGAGAAGAACTGTTCTTTGGAACATGCGATGAAAGAGGCATTGGTGGTGTCGGTGTACTTGTCAACACGAAATTAGCCATGAACATTGATTCATTAGAATGTCTAACAACCCAAATTCGACGATTACACTTGAATAGATGTGGCTCACTGCCGGCAGTTTCTATCTTCATTGTCTATGCACCAACATCCAATAAGGTGAAAGAGAAATTGAAAAGCTCTGCACGAAGCCAGAGAAGTTCAATAAAGAATACCACACCTTCTACAAGATCATTGTCCGTGATTTTAATGCCAAGATCGGACTGAGAAGATCAGCCAAAGAACTCCACATTGAGACCCATGGCCTAGAGTGGAACGAACAAGGTGACAGACTGTCTGAGTTCATCATGTTGACCAAGACCATCCATGGTAACTCACAGTTCCAGAAGACCGAATCTAAACGTTGGACACTGGAGTCTCCCGGTGGATGGTTCCACAACAAAATTGACCATCACAAATCACAAATAACAAATCATCCTGTTATTCGTCGATTGCCTCGAGCAGGCCCCAGTAGTGTCTCTTTCATCCTAGCCTTGAGATTATATTCAAGGCTCTTTAGGAGAATGAGACCCATCATTGTTACTGGTATTTGGCATATTGGGTACGCCACGGGGAGTTTGCCAGACTCTACCGTGTGGGAAGGCTACATTCGATAGCCTGCCAGTTTGTCCAAAGTAGGAGTGAGATAATAAGATGTCATAATAAGATGTCGTGCAGCCGCATTTGCGAGGACAGCCTGGCGAGGACAGCCAGGCGCGGGGGCAGGAGACTGCACTGTTCTCTTCCGGGGCCCCTTGGCTGGGAGTGGGTTGAGCTTTCCTCCCTGCTCCGACCAGGGCTCCGGCAGCCGAAGACCTCCAGGACCAGCCGCCACCATGCTGAGACCACTCTCCGCACACATGAAGGTACTGGCAGAGGGACAAAGCCACGCGGGTTCCGGGGCCAAGATCTCCAAGCCTACTCGGATTGGGGCTGAGCATCCTCCACCCAGATCCTCCAATTTCCAATAGGCGGGGTTCACACCCACCAACTGGCCCCCTGGCGCCGTGTAATCCCATCAACGGCCAAGACTCAGAGACTATAAAAACCAGCTCCTGGAAGAGAATAGTGCAGTCTCCTGCCCCCGCACCTGGCTGTCCTCGCCGGGGCCCCTTGGAGGGGAGCGGGTTGAGCTTTCCTCCCCGCCCTGACCAGGGCTCCGGCAGCCGAAGACCTCCAGAACCAGCCACCACCATGCTGAGACCACTCTCTGCAAAATTGACCATATCATATTCAATCGACAGTATTGCCTGACTGATGTTGCTGTTATCCCAAAATTCCAAATGGGATCAGACCACCGTCTCCTTCATGCAAAATTCTACTTCACAGAGCGGGGAGAAAGGAATGCAAAGTTTAAGAACAGAACTCCCAGAATGACCACCGACTGGGAGCTCTTTGGCCCTGTTGTGGCAACTTGGGAAGATGCTGTCATTGACAACATTGATGAGGAATATGAGGAATAAGATCGACTGGTTCAGCACCTTTATGATTGTGCGAGGAATGCCAAGAGAGAGATAACTACAAAAAAATGCCTGTCTTAGAAAACTCTTGAGCTTATTTGCCCACGTGGCTTGGCGCATCCTTTAGGCAACCGCAAGCTAATGTGTGAGCTCACAAAGCAGTGCAGAGAAGTGATCAAGGAAGACCTCAAAGAGAGAAGAGCAGCAGTGCTGGTACATGCGGCAGAAGCTGGAAAAAGCATTCGTAACTCCCATCTGTCCTTCACCAACTACAAGACCAAGATGACAGCCCTCCGACATCCTGATGGATCTGTCACATCTTCCAGAAGGGCAACAGAGAAGATTATCCATGACTTCTACTCAAATCTCTTTGATAGCCATGTCCACCTTGTTTTGGTCTGGCTAAAAGCAAAGCGGCAATTTGGGGCTGTCAGAAAGCCTGAAGGCACCATCAGGCTGCTTATGCACTCTCCCCACAGGTACAGGTGGACCTGTTGGTGGCATCTCACTCCTGAAATAATATATTTTAACAGTTATTAGAAATATATCTATAATACATTATTTATGGGTTTAGTTTTCATTTTTTTAAATTGAAACATCTATATCTACAATACAGTTAGTGATCATTTCATGCATACAATGTTCAGCTACTAGATTATCTGCTTCCCTCCAATGTCTCAAGGTCTCATCTTGCACATCTTAGTAAGTTTCGTTCTGTAGACCAACCCTCAGATTTTGTTGCCTATGGCCATTTGTTCTTCTTTTACTAAGTGTCTTCATATGCCACCTATATCCTTTGTCCTATGCCTTTTGACTGGCTTTTTATCAACATTTAGGATTGTTTTTTAAGGTCAGTGGCACACAAATTGCAAAATGATATTGCCTACTAACTGTATGTAAAATAACATGAGAAAAATCAGTTGCATGATCTATTAATTAAGTGCTTGGTTTTTAGTCAAATGTATTTACAGTTTTTTTTGTGTATTCTTTTACTAAATAATAGCTTGGCTAATTATAATTGTATTATAATTATATAGTACAATATATCACAGTAGCTATTCCTTGTCTATCTTATTTATTCAAAACAAAGTATTCTAAAACAAAGAAAACTATAGTTGTAGAAAAGTGATAAATTCTGGGCAGAAAATGGCAACTTACATAGTTTATAAAGAATTAATTGACTTCCAGTTTTAGGTAGAAGAATAGGTACAAATTTAAAGGTCTCTTAAAGGAAGTTACATTTGAACTGAGCTTTAAGCAAGAGGAAATCTACTATCACTTTCTCTCTTGTCAGTACTTTACATTGTTATTATCCTATTTTCTTTGCATTTCAATGACTAGATTTTATTTTTGAATCTAGTAAAAATATTCATATCACTGGCTATGCGTTTTCACTTCTAAAGATATAGTTTAAGATTCCTGGTTGATTGTATCCTGAAGAAATCAAGGATTTCATTAGATAAAAATCTCTGGTTGTGCTGTATCTTAAGTACGGATGAACTCTATGCTCAAGTCTTTTTAAAAAATATAGTCCAAAGAGGCTGCAGATATAGTACAGTGGATAGGACATTTGCCTTGCACGCGGCCAACCAGAATTTGATACTTGGCATCCCGTATGGTCTCCTGGGCACCACTAGGAGTAATTCCTGAGTGCAGAGCCAAGAGTAAACCCTGAGCATTGCCAGGTGTGGCCCATAAACAAAACAACAAAACACTAACAAAATATATTGTTCATGATTTAGCAGGAAGAATTAGGAACTTAGTACTAGATTGTTTTACAACAGTTACTTATATTGCTTCTTTAGAGTTCATTCCAATGAGAGTTGTACACTGTCAGCTTGGTTTTGTGGTTGCTGATAGTCATGCTTTCTTGAAATAGCATACATCTCTAGCTGTTGTTTTAAGCGAATTTTGCTCATTGTGTCATAAAAGTTAGGCTCTGACAAGGTTTCTGCTGAAGATGGCACACTGAATATCCTCATAATTTTTCTTTTATTCCTCTTGGCATACATGAAGAGAGCAAAGCTAACAAGGATCACCACCAAATGAACACTGGTGGCTTCGTTCCAGGCCTCATGCACACTATAATCCATAGAACCATCATCTGCCATCAAGCCGTAACTTTCAGGCATGGGGATTCTGATGTTTTCAACTTGTCAACTACTGGTTTAGGTAACTAAAGCGGGCAATGTATTTCTCCTTAGTGTCATCTTTGAAACATTTAGAACTCTTTTCCATAAAGCTGAAAACGCTGAGGGCTCGGGGGCGACTCTGCTCGGGTCTCTTCCCCGGATGCAGGGCCAGGTGTGCGGGAAGTGGCCCCGCGGTCTCCTATCTTTTTTTCAGATTGACCTATATGATAAATTAAAATAAAACTTTATTAGCTTTTTTTTTCTTTTTGGGTCACATCTGGCGATGCTCAGGAGTTACTCCTGGTTCATGCACTCAGGAATTACTCCTGGCGGTGCTCGGGGGACCATATGGGATGCTGGGAATCGAATCTAGGTTGGCTGCGTGCAAGGCAAATGCCCTACCCACTGTGCTATTGATCCAGCCCCTTGATTAGCTTTTGAGGGCAGCCATAAAGAGTACAGCCAAAAAGGTGACCTAAACAACATAAATGAATTTGCTCACAGATGTTGTGGTGACACTTCTAGTATTAAGATATAAGCAAGGTTAATTTCCTTTGATGTCTCTGGCTTATAGAAGGTCATTTCCCCTGTGTTTTAACATAGATTAATTTTTATTCTTTATATCTATTTATAATTTTCTATTCTTATAGTGACAACTATCATATTGAATTAGATCTCATCCTAAAACCCTCAGTTTAACATAATTACCTCTTTAAAGAAGTCATCTTCAAAAATAAATTCAAGGGCATTGTAGAATAGGGCCTCAGCACATGGTATTTTTAGGGGCACAATAGCTACCGAGAGTATTTGATATGCCAAACACAGTAACAACAAAGTCTCCAATGGAGACGTTACTGAGCCCGCTCGAGCAAATCGACGATCAACGGGAGGGCCTTTACCTTTACCTTTACCTTATGAATCTTAATTAATCACAGCGGTAGGGCATTTGCCTGGCTGAGCCTGGTTTGATTTCTCTGCCCCTCTCGGAGAGCGCAGCAAGCTACCGAGAATATTTCTCCTGCATGACAAAGCCTGGCAAGCTACCTGTGACGTATTCTATATGCCAAACACAGTAACAAGAAGTCTCACAATGGAGACGTTACTGGGCCCACTCTAGCAAATCAATGAACAATGGGAGGACCGTGACTGAATCTTAATTAGGGTTTAAATCTAAGTCAGTGTTCAAATCTGGTTTGCTAGAAAGCTCAAAATAAAGTGGTACATTAAACTCTCATCTCATTGTTTTCTTTGTCTATCTGTGTATGGTGCCATATTTGATGAAAAGTGATTTAAATATATCCAGTTCCTGTATCCAAGTGCCAAATAATATTCTGCCCCCACCTCCACCCATGCTGCTGCTGTGAGGTCAGGGGTGGAGCATCACTTAGTCAAGGTGTCATCTATTAGATTTCAAAATCTCCTTTAAGTTGCAGAGTTCACATATATACTTCCTAAGGCTTGTAACACCGAGTGTTGTGTTCACACATGTTCTGCCTGAGCATTGCAATTCTGGTTATAGTATTCACACATCTTTTTAGTCGCAGTACTCGCATGCATCTTGAGATGTAACTGGCAGATGATTCTAGTGCCGGGGATCTCAGATAAGAAAGCTGATAAGTACAATCAGCAGAGCTTCTAAGATATCTCTTGGTGCCTCCAACCAGTAGTGTTTGCAGCCCTGCCACAAATCTAAATACTAAGGTCAACTTTAAAAAATCCTATGATTAGAATATGTGGAAAAGATAGAAAGCTTCTGCGTCTGTAGAAAAAATGTTAACCTCATAGTTGAGACTGAATGCATCACTCAACAAGTAGGTCACTTAATCTGCAAAATTCAAGGGGATGCCAAAAGTTATTCACTGAGATAAAGACATTTAATTTGTTTTTTAGAGTATAAATTAATTTAAAATTCTATAATAAACAAAATTTCAAAATGTTAAAATCAGACAGGGTTCATGACAATCCTTCAATTACTTCTAGACAGGTGAATTGCCCTCTGAGAAGTTCTATTTCTGCATTATTGGGAATTATCCTTACATTGTTCTCATTTGATTAATAAACAGTTTTTGGAGGTCTACTGAATGTTCATATTGAGTCACTTTGAGTGACTTTTTAAAATGTCCATAGGAGCTTTGTACTACTGAGAAAAAATGAGATATTGACATTGTGGCAAGTCAGAGGAAATTGAATTGCATGGTGAAGAATCTTTAGAGTGGAGTTTTAATTTATTTGATTAACAAACTTTTATTTGTTATTTACTAGTGTAGGAAACTGGAGACACCAATTAAATGTTAGAACATTAAGAAGGAGAAGGAGATAGTACGGTGGTTAGGGGTATATATAGCATGCATTGAACAGGGTTCAATTCTGGCACCACATTGTTCTCAGAACATTTTTGGATGCAGTCCTGGAGTTTCTGAGTGCCGTGAGTGTAATGCTGGAGGCTCCTAAAATATCTTAGGTGGCCTGCCAGTTGAGGACTGGAAAAACATCACATATGGGACCTTTGAAATGAATTGACAACCTTGGTGCTGAGAATCCCTGTAGTGCTCCCAGGCCTCTTGATATACATAAATATTAAATAATGAATAATGAATAAGCTAAACAACGAATACAAAGTAAATAGAAAAGTGATTTAGTAATGTATAAATCCTTAGAATTTCTAAGAGCACTAATTTTATGGAAGAATACATCTCTGATGAATTGCTCTAGAAGACAATATTTACTGGGGAGCATTGCTTTCTTCTAGATAGTCATTAGCAGAAACCAGAAAGGTAGACACTTCGTCTTTCAGTCATAACAAATAAGAAAAATTTGTAATAAGCAGAGACTAAGAGTGGTGATAACTATTTTTTAAGATATGAATTTAGATGTGAACTTATACATGCAGAAGTCCATATAACTATATTTTGCTCTTTTTTAAACTCTATTCTTTAAAGATTTAGTGAAAAATATAATCAAGTTGCATTCCTTTTATACAAAACTGAATGACCATTGTCATGTTCCCAAAGTAGAGTACTTGTGAAGGCATGCTCCCCTCCTACAATACTCAGCCTTGCGTAGCATCAGCAGAGCCATTTTGGAAAAGCACAGCCTTTTCCAGTAACTGTCAGCTGAACCAGATAACACTCACTTATGGGAATCAGCTGAAAGACAGAACCACTCCCATTCATTTATGGGGATCAGCCGAAAAAGCAGAATTACCCCTGCATGAAGTCAGTGGAGATAGCCACCTCACCAATCAAGGGAAAGATCACCTAGGGAGGGGCGCAAGATGGTTAGGGAAGCCCCCTGCATTTTTAGAGTATAAAATGACCCTGAAACAAGAGCAGGGATCGCTCTCCTGCTTGAGGATATGGCCCTGACCTGTCAGCTTTCTCAGCCTTCTCGGTTTTTCCACTTTCTTAACTCAATGTTTGTGCTGAATAAAACATTATACTACAAAGTTCATTGCTTTGTGTGGTCTTATGGACACAGAACCCTAACATTACTCAGTAGATCACATTTTATGTAATTTCCTACAGAATTATTGAGTGAATGCTTAAATAAGAAGTAACTATCTGGGCTGGAGGGATAGTAAAATGGGTAGAGTATTTGTCTTGCATGTGGCTGAGTCAAGTTCCATCCCTGGCATCTCATGACCATATGAGACCATTCCCAAGCACTGATAGGAGTAATTTCTGAGTGTAGAGCCAGGAATAATCCCTGAGAATCACTGGGTATGACTCAAAAGGCAAAAAAAAGTAACTATCTACAAATCCATTTCATGGGAAGGAGTTGCTATGGGAAAGAATATAATTTATTTCCTCTTTTGGGATAAAAGGAGAAAAGATGGGAAAAGGAAAACAAATTTATTAACCCAAACAATAGGCAGGAATTAAAGTAAATAGTATCTTATGAATACTGCACAGAGCACTGATGAGTATGAACTCATTGAACCAAAATGACACGTCATCTAATATTGATGAAGCATCTATAGTGTATTCTATAATATCTATTCTAAAATTCTCTGGAGGATTCAAAAGTGGACAAGACATATTTCCTACCCCTGAAATTATGATAAAATATAGGGAAGATAATAAAAAATTTTAACACAAAATCTGAGGAATATATAAAATGTATTTTTATAAAATTTTCATAGTATGTATATACATGCAGATGAGACATAATTTAAAATAATATGCATACATATAATGTGTACACATAATTTAAGGTTCAATATATTAGATTTTTAAGCAATATTAAAATATGTTAAAATTAATATAGAAGCAAGCACTCTTTCTCCTCCTTGAATCTATGAAAGTGTTTAAAGTTAGTGTTCAGCACAAAAAGATACTCAATGTGAGGAAATAATTGATAACCTCAATAAGGAGATTTCACCTGGTAAATCATTGACAACTTAAAGAAGGAAGGATTTTCATAATATGAAACATCAGGATAGGACTATGTTTGGCTGATTTTTCAAAGGGATGCTGTGAAATAGAAATAATTGAGAAGCTATAGTTAATTCTCTCATTGTAACCACTATCCATGGTCATAGATTAAGGGCTTCTCTCTCTCTCTCCTCTCTCTCTCTCTCTCTCTCTCTCTCTCTCGTTAATTGAATCACTGTGAGATACACAGCTACAAAGTTTTTCAAGACTGGGTCTCAATCATACAATGTTCCAATGCTCATCCATTCATTTCCCACCACCAATGTCCCCAGCTTCTCTCCCACCACCTCCTCAGCCTGTCTTTATATGAGGCACTGTTCTCTCTCTCTCTCTCGCTCTCTCTCTGCTCCCTTCTCTCTGTGTCTGTCTGTCTCTTTCTTTATCCCTTTGGGAATTATTGTTTGTAATTAAAGGTGTTGAAAGGTTATCATTTTATATTAAAAGGTTACTGGTTATATTGAAAGGTATTGAAAGGTTATATTGAAAGGTTATCACCCTTTTCCTACTCTCAGCACTCAGTTCGTGTCCAGCTATCACTATCATGGGATACTTTCCCATAGCATCCCC